CCAACTTGAGGACCCTGGTGATGGCAGAGCATTGTGTTTTAGAGAAGTAACATCGACGCTGTGATTTAACTTCTAGACGCGACATGAGTCCGACAGACTGTATCGACAGTACGCAGTAACAAGTACAATGACTATATCATGCTCGCTGAGTCTATCATGCATTCGAGCTCTGTCGTGTAGCACCTCTGATTTATCTGCTGTTATGAAGGATGATGCATATGTGATGACCATAGATATCAAATACGGCTCCTGTTTACGACATGGATCTATTACTCGAGCAGCATCACAATTTGCAGATATCAGTACATACAACATTCTTACGGGTTGTGTTGGTTGTGTGGATGGGTGGTTGTGCACTATAAAAGCTCCAAGTGCAAATGAAGTCCCCGACGTATCAGCTTTCTTTTCGGGTCACTACTTGTGCTACGGTATAAATGTGCAGGCCATGTGTGACGCAGCGTGCAGATTTACCGGTTATTGTTTTAACTCACCAGGAAAGGTTTCGGATAGTGTTGCTTTTAAAAAGTGGCCATTGCACACTGCTATCTCCAATTTACCCTTTGGGTATTATGTCATCGGTGACAACGCGTACCCATTGTCATCATCCGTGCTGGTGCCCTTTACGAAACCGGAGATCAAAACCAGAGATTATTCCGACTACAATTTTTATATATCCCAACTACGCATTCGAATTGAAATGTCCTTCGGTCTCCTGGTTAATAAGTGGCAAATATTTAAGAGGCCACTGGCAGTGGACTATGTACATGCAGGGCTCGTTATCAAAACTTGTATGAAATTACATAATTACTGCATTAACGAGCGCATTTCTCAACCGGAAAGTGGAGGACCAAGCAATGCTGCGTCAAGAGAATTTAACGCAATGGAAAACTGCAGCTATTTGCCCACAGTAGCTGACGACACGGGTAAAGATAATATGCAGGTTGTAAACGGTCATATCTTTCGCAAAGTGGTTTTAGAGCACATTCAGAGATACAATTTAGCAAGGCCTTTAAGTAAATAAAAACAAATCGGGATATTAAGGTAAAAACAAATATTCATTGATCCGTTAGTCCCTCATTATGTGATTTTGAAGCTCGTCCGATTTCTCCTGCGCAGTCTGAACGCGCCTAAATACAGACTCACGTTCACGCTCTAGATCAGCGACGTCCATCCCTTTAAGTCCGTTCTCATAGATGCGTATGTCGAGATCGTGCAATGCTTGACGGCGACGAGCTAAAATTCCATCCACAGCGGCTATTTTCTCCACCAATACATCTCTCTCCATCTTCTCGCGTTGAAGACGTGCAACAGCGGTTTTCTCCTCAATTAATGCTCCTTTTGCACTCGATACTTCAATCTCGACGAGTTTGTTAACAGCTTCAGTGAGAATGGAAACGGAATCGAGACTCTTTCGTTGATCATCTTGTTTTTGCCGCTTCCTATTCACTTTCTGCTTCTTTTCACTTGGCCCCCGCTCTTTTGATTCGTCATCTTCGCTATCCTCGTAAATACAAGTAGCACAAAATTCCCGACCTGAACCGCGTTCTTCACACCACAGGTGAACGTACATGGCTACTTTATCTCCTTGGCAAAATTGCCAAAATTCGTCATGTGAACCTGATAATTTGCATCTTCCTTCGGCTGCGGCGAAACGCGAATTACATTCCTTCCACATAGACTTAAGTTTTGCACCGGAATGAGCCGTAATTAACTGCGGTTCAATACCCTCAAACAACGAGTCTGGAGACACAAGACGGTCGAAGTCATCGTTAAATGTACTGAAAGCTTCGGCCATCTGCTCCCAGAACTCCCGACCACCCTCATCTAGCTCACGCCGTGTAAGTGCGTCACCAGATGTGATAAATTTCTCGAAAAAATCTTCAGAGAAGAGTACGTTGAGCAGGCGATACAAACAGTGCTTGCTTCTGCGTTGAGTGGTCTCTGCAGAAGGCCCCCTACCACGTTTGGCCTGCCGCTGACGATCCAGTAGCAGCTCCATGGCATTCTGGGACTCATCGTACCCCTGAAGGATAGTAACTCGATCGGCCTTGTTAGTATTCTTCGCCACAGAAAGCTTACGCGCGGTACGCTCTAACTTTAGTTGATCTACCGTCCAAGTGCTGTAGTCGTCCGACGAGGGCGGAGGAACCGTGCGCTTGCTGCCTGCCTTCTGTACAGCAGTCCAGTGTGTGCTCACACAAGCTCCACTACTAGTGGAGGCATCTGCGACCGTCGAGACGGCGGACTCCATGCTAAACGAGAGACCTCGAGCACACCGGTTTGTGTTGCTGAAGCAAAACGTCTGTGCTTCGTGACCCGAAGGGTCACGATCCCGTTAAGAGTGAATTAATCATGATCTGCACGTACACTTAACCCTAACTGGATCATGCTCCGTCGTGATCCCGTTAGGAACCGGCCTTAGTTTTAAAAAGATTTCTAATGTGATGTGTCGTCATACAAAATTATAGTGTAATTGACGTCTATATTGGATGATCGAGCTTTAAATAGATGCTGTGAAAAATGGATTAGGGTATACACTTCTAGCGTTGGATACGGTAAGTAAGGGGGTTAAGGTTTCGAATGATCTCACGCGGAACGAGAGCCGATTCACGTGGGATGCGGCTGTTCTACAGCCGACACGGGAGTACATCGCAAATTTACTACAGTCTGTTGATTCCCAAGTGGAGGAGCCCATAGAAGAG